TCATCTCTTTATTTCACTAATAGTGATCTACCATTTTCCTTTAAAATGCCTCATAAACATTTTCATCTCTTTATTTCACTAATAGTGATCTACTATTTCCTTTAAATACCCAAGAGAACTTTCATTCATTTCTGGAGTGACTGTTCATTCTTTGTTGCACTTGAATAAAGTATAGTGTGTACTTTATTTTGCATAATAGTTCTTTGCTTTGAGTAGGATTAAATAGATTTTTTGTTACTTCCGCATTTAATGATGGTCTAGTAAATTGTTAATAAAGAATCTACTACATGTGCATATTATGGAATATTCCATCAGAGGTAATTGACTTTTTCTCCATGTGAAAAAGAACATTCCATGAAAAGGATATGGAGATGGGACCCATTTTTTTGCTAGCCGTTTATCTCCGTTTCTCTTTGCTTCTATGTACTCCATATTTTACATATATTTCCCCTTAACCAAACAGAGACTTGTGATGAAGGGGTCTTATTATTATGGAGCCCTAGTGTTTCATCATAATAATAAAAAAACATTCGAGTGCATATAGTAATGTGCACTCGGCGGCGGCACCGTAAAACCTGTGCCATTGCCTTTGTCCCTATATGAAATTTCCATGAAACACACTTTAGTTGCAATTTTCTTGGGTCCACTACATTCCAAGCTTGAATGTTGAGGGTTGTTTTGTATTGTTCTTATAAAGTGTTTGAAATTAGATTCAAAAAAGTTGGTTTAATAATTTATGATGAGTATAAAGTAAGGTCAAGTTATATGAATCTAGGTGTTTAGTAATCAGGTTGAGTCAGAACGCTCGAAAACAATCAAAAACTTTGTTAGGTATACTCTGACTTTTAAGCTACAGCATTTTGGTAATTATGAAAGAATAGTTAAAACGATTCTCTATATAAATTTCAGTCAATTCAGAAAATATTTCAATCTTTCTTATTTGATTATTCCTTATTACACAATTTAATTGGGAAAAATAATTAAAATACCCCAAACTTTGAAGGGGTGTGCGGTAAGCACTCCAAACTTGCAAATGTAATTTAAATACCCCAAACTTTATATAAAAAGTTATTTCAACACCATGGTAATGTATTATTTCTTTAAAAAATGTTAATATTTGGTGTTAATTTCATAATTTAAAATATTTTACCACCCATAAAGATACAATTAACATTCTAAATTTCAATTGTAAATTAAATAGTATTACCCCTCACTCTATATAATAGAAACGTTTTCAATTTGCTATTTAAATTATGGAACTAACACTATAAATTGACATTTTGGAAATAAATAATGCATAACCATGATTTATAAATAACTTTTTATAAAAGTTTGGGATATTTAAATTACATATGAAAGTTTGGGGTGTTTATCTCACACCCTTTCAAAGTTCGAGATATTTTAATTATTTTTCCCCGATTTAATTAGTGCGTTAAATAAAGAAAGTTCATTGATAAGAGTAATAAGTTGAAAATATGGATTACCAAACCATAGACCATTAGACCGATAAGCTGAAAATATGGGTTTACGATAGTATCATAAAAGTATAAAGTTATTAAATTTTGCATTAATATATTAGTTAAAATAATTGATCAAACTTTACTATCTTTGACTAGAAAAGTCAAAAATGACTAACTAAAATGGGACGGAGGTAGTATTTATTACTCCGTATTAAACCCTACATAACAATAAGAGAAAAATCCATAATCAGAATTCAAATTGGACCCTCACTGTTTTTGTCAAAAAAAAAAATACATTCACCTTCCAAAGAAAAAGTTAAAGTAATTTTTTGTTCTTACGTTATCACTGATCAATTACTTCTATTTCTGCATCTGGTCATGTTTGTGATACATCTTTCTAAAGTTCCATTTATTTTGTAGACTTGTGAGGTTTTTTTGGAGGAAAAGGGATCTGACTTTTTCCAACAATTATACCAAACTGAGCCTTGAGTCTGATTTGACCTTTGTTTGGGTAGGCCCCCTTTGAGTCCCATTATTGTGAGCGAGCATGGTCCTTTTTCTGGAGCCATTTAGCATTTGGCCTCGAAACAAAACTTTCCAGCGGCCTTGTCCTATTTTTTTCAAACATCCTAATGAGTGCTGTCTCACACTATCTCAATGGATCATTTTAGGACCATCAAACTTTTAATTTCATCTGTTTGGCTATGGAGTAGGCATTGATTCTGTTTCCATTATGGACTGTTCGTTCTTTAGCTATTTATTTAACGGAGTATTAGCTAGGAAAGTTACCACATAGAGAGGATTAAACGTCATCCTGCGTGTCATTATGAGGTAGAGGCGTATGTGTAAGTGGGGTCTTGCAAAAATGAAAAGGAGTAGTAATAATACCACTCTTTCTAGCCTTCGACCTACTGTGGATTTGCCACTTTTGATCATTACGTTAATGCTGTCTTTGGTGCACAATACAATGTAGAAAAAATGATATATGGGAGTGATTGGAATGATTTATTCCGTTTTTTGAAAACAGAAGTAGAATTAGAATCAGATTTTTAGAAGTTGGACTCCCTCAACTTTTAAAAAATTGTATCTACAATCAATATGTAGCATTTGAAACTACTTATGATTTCACTCAAACACTTCAATATCTGTTTCTACTCTGTGAAAAAGCAGAAACAATTTTAAGAAGTACTCCAAACACGCTATGAAGTATGCAACGACAAACATGGTAAGGGATATTGCAAAAGTGACAAAAGTCACTAAACAATTCTAATGCTAAGAGATTACCCTAAGTAGAAGTATGATATACGGAGTATCACATTAGGTATATATCACACTATTATTTTAGGATAGCAATACTTTACTCCTATTTAGAGGAATTCGGAGAAAACTTGGTACTTTTATTTAGGGAAGACGTTTTATTTTACTCCATTTAGGAAAACTCCTTTAAACATTTCAAAACAATGACTAAATAGTTTAAATATTGGGTTTTTTACAAGAATATTACTAAAATAAAACATATTTGCATAAATATGACTATTCATTACTGCAATGTGGTGTTGTGTTAACTTAAGCTCAAAACATGAACATGAATTACTATGATTTCATTACTACTCTAGTCACTAGTCATATTTTTGTAAATCATCTTTATTTTGATCATATTTATGTAATTATTTCTTTAAAATATTTCATTTTCAATGTTATAGTGACAAGCCCACCAGTGTCACTGACACCCTCCATAGATCACTTTAACCACTCACATATTCTATAGTTCTATTGGTGCTCATTCACATTGTGCTATGTATGCAGACAGTGTATCCCTCGAGTTCAATCAATACGCTGCTGGATCGCGGTGGAGAAGAACGATCGTTAGCAGAAAAGAGCACCGCGAGGAAGGAAACGAGGCGGACGGGTTCTACGGAGGAATCAAGAAAGTTCACAGCAAAGAAGAGATTTCAGCTTGGAAACGGCTCTGGCCAGTTGAAGACCTGGAATAGATCAGATTTGGTAGATGAACATCACACTAGAAAGGGCACTTTGTAAAGTCACTGTCACCCGTTCCTGTCCAGAATGATGGAAAGTAACCGCGAGGTTACCTTGTAATTCTTCACTTCATAGATAGTAACCGCATCCTGTCCAGAATGATGGAAAGTGATGATGGAGTATATAATTGGTGTGATTCAACTGATCTTTGTCGAACTCAAAAGCTATTAATTGATTATAATAATGGCTGTTGTGTGACTTGTGTCTTTTTCTCGTTGGGTTGTTGAATGGATAACTTTTAACACGTTTGGTGCACAAATAAATTTGGGTGAAATAAATGAATTGGGTTATATTTGATAAAATGATTGAGTTAGTGAACTATTTAAAAATACTTTTTAATAAAAATATTAAAGAAAATAAGTTACTTTGTTCTCATTTCACTCATGCTTGCTATTAAAAAGTAATTCATGTACTTTAATAAAATTCACACCCAAAACGATAATGTTTGAATGGTTATCATTCATATTTTATTACGTAGTACGGAGTATTAATTTATCAATTCAATATTAATCATAAAAAATCCGTATTAATTTATCAATTCAATATTAATCATAAAAAAAATCAAGATTACACGGCATGTCAAAGCAAGAGTAGTTTGATCTGAGCTGTATTGGACCTCAATGACCTCGTCCAAATCTGATATGACACGACTTCAAGTGTTGACCATCTCTCACAAAAACAAAAACAAAAACATAGAACCAAATAAAAGAAACAATAAGAGCTCATTTGAACTGCTGAATAAATAAACCGGCCCTTTTTGTTCTCAAGGATGTAGGGTACAGGTACTCCTCCAAACATAGCAATTGCATTTGCTTGATTGCTTCTAGTCTTGAGAAGTGGTTTACATTAGAAATGATACAAAAACTGATCAATGATAAAGTTGGTAGTGTTTAAAAAGAAAAAGTGAAAAACAGATTCAAGCGTTTCTCCTCCAACTTACAGCTTCTAGATTGAAACTGTTGAAAATTAAATAGAACCATCTCTTTGAAACCATTTCGTTTAGCTTTCTAAAGCAAAAAAAACGAGCAATACTTGATGCAAACACTCCTATATTGTGTTGTAGCCTGTAGAGGGGAATAACATAGTCATAATCTCATAGAGTAGAACTTCCCCGATTCCCCTTTTTAAGCCAACAATGTCCAGGGAGGCCTAATTTCTTAGGCCAAGCCAAACCGCAGTTTCAGACTTTCAGCCCATCTTCAAGGACTGTGGTGCCATGGTGCAATTAGGTGTATACACTGTCCTGCAACGGATGAATGGACCACTATAGATCACACCTGGTTCATTAACCAGCCAATCCACTATTGGGCACAATGATCCAACTTACCACCAAAAGAAAGGGATCTAAACAGGGCAATTTAGAGCTGGTTTGGTACCATTGAAATTGGATGAACATGTTGAATCTGCTAAAATTGGCTGAGTATGTCGAATAATGGAAAAAAAATAAAATACATACATTACTAAAAAGGTAAAGAAAATTTTATATGAAAATCTAAGAAGCTAAAATCAAAGATACTTGGAACCTTTTTCTATTATTTGCCAAGTCAACATGTGATGTGAAAAAATTAGTGTTCGGCAAAAAAGTCTTACCGATAAGAATCATAAGATTGATAATCCGAAAAGCCATATTACCATACATTCACTTATAATAGCTATTTTTCTCAAATACATAATACAAACTTGTAATACATTTCAAAACATTTCAACACCAAGTTTGATGATGATCAATGATCCAACCCTAACAACTTTGTCAAGGAGAAGAAAGCATTTGCCTACTTCAGTTTTGCTTGAATGTTGTGATCATAAAATCTTGAGGCCGGAAGTTTAATTAGACTCCCTAATCTTTATCTCATATATGAGTCCTTGAAGATCTTTTACCACAGATTGTGTCCCACATACTTCATTTATCTGCAAACCATGTCGAATTGCTTCATCAGTCACCAGGCTATCCATTCTGTAAAGAAAAACAATATTTGGTGTAAGCAAAACCCTTAAAGAATCAAGAAAAGAAAATACTACCTATTTCTCCACGGCTTTTACAGCTTCAAAATTAAAGTTGGTTTTATAAACGTTTAGGATATCAAATAAAAATGGTCCACAAATAGTCCTAGACAAATATTCATAAACTGCTGAACTGGCCTCATTTGGTAGCATTGATTGGCTAATTATGCTTTTCAGCAGAATAATAAAAACAAGTAGCATTTGACAAACTTATCTGATTATAATGGATGTTACTAAACGTTCCTACTTCTGCGTAGTTCAGCCAAATAACCCTTATGAAATGGGGTTATTAGTTTACGCTTGCATTTTCAGTTTTTTACATACATAACTAATGGATTATGCTATCCCTATTTCAGTGCATAATGATAGTTACCATAACAAATTTAGAAATATAATTTACAGCACATATAGATGTGATTCAGAAATAGAAATCTTGGACTATCTTCATCTTCAGTAGTAAACCAAAAAAGAAAAGAAAAATATAACTCACAGTGGTAAAATTATAGATACCTTGTATCTATTTATCACAATGAAGTTGTTTCTTTCTATAAAACAGCATCTATAACAAACTGGTAAGCAATTCAGATTTCAGAGCCGCAAAATAAAATTCAGATGCAGAGATGTACATACGTTTTTGCTCGTGATACATATGCCAAGATAAATTTGCATTTGTCTCCACCACGGATTTTGAGTAGCTGCTCCACAGTATCAAAGAGTAAAGGAACATTTGACTGCTGAAAACTTGCAAATTGTCAAGGATTATTGCAAAAGAAAAGAAACTTGGCCTCTAAAAATATACTCAATGGGTAAACTCGTTTTAATACATAGGCCAGACGTTCTTGAAATATCATGGTATGATAAGACACTTATATGGGACAAAGTTATGCTGCATAAGGAAATAAGTATGAATATGATCATTAGTTTTGAATGAAACAAAACAAATATGCTTATAGCGTAGTAGAACCTATAAAGGGGAGAAACTAAATGAAGTATTAATTAGGATATAAATGTCAGCTCCTAGAATTAGATCAAATCCTTCAGGATGCTTTTCTAATATAGAACTGAGCTGATCATTATTGCCCCACTCCAGCATCTCGGCTTTTAAACCTGAAAGCAATTAAAGACACGGAAATGAAGGCACAATCAGTTATTGTTTGTAAGAGTTTGTTTACCAACCAGTATATATCTCAGAAGAATGCAGCTCTATGTTTTTCTTCAGGATCTGAAATTGTTCTAAACATTAGGTGCTGAGTTAATAAGGTTTGTGAAAATATGTAAATTATTGAAATGCAAACACTTGAACTTGCCTTTAGGACCTCCTCACTATGGTCTGTCATCACGACTTCATGACAAAACTTGCTGCACAATATTCCAGTTATACCTGCATTAAGTACTCTTTAGAACCTTCCTCTTTAAACAAAAGAGTGTTGAGAAAAACTGCTGTGCAATTTCCATCTTCAAATATGCCCTAAGCTACCCATCTTTAGAGATAACTGCAATGTCTGTCCGAATGTTCCTTTTGAAGTGTTCCTTAGTGTTCCTTGTTTCAATACAAAATTACAAATGCTTAAATTATCACTCTAGTGATGGGAAAAAAGACCTTGGTTTGATGCTATTCTCTTAGTCTCTATATGGATGGAGGGATTTGGAGGGGTGTGCTTTGAAGAGCTTAGTCTATATTTTGATATATTTGAGATTTTATAAAAAAATGAAAGATAACACGCTATAAATTTTCAATCACCTTTTCTTATAAATCTTCTATTTTCCATCCAAATATGCCCTTAGTGTCAATTTGGATGGATAATTATGGAGGGTTTTGAAGTTCTCAGTCTATATCTTGATGTACATTTGAAGATTTTATAAATATTGAAGAAAATATATAATAGGCGATCATATGACATTTCAATTGCCCTTTATTCCTTTTAACAATTTATTCATCAAGATACTGATTACGCACTCAAAAGTCTTCCTCTCCGAAAACCTCCATCCAAACCGACTGGTAGAATCTCTTTCAAAACCCTTAACATAATAGAACTGATAGTAATTAACTTTCAAGTGTTTCACATTAGTAAATAGTAAATGGGTGCCAAATAAAATTGATGTAGGGGAAAACCCCTTAGGTAAATGATGGTGAAAGAAAGAAGACGTTGTGTTAGAGGGTTGGACTGGGGGATTGGTTTTCTGATACTAGAAATAATCCTGGAAAGGACACTTAAGAATTAAGATTGAGACAGGAAGAAATCAGGTGAGGAAAAATCATTACAGTTAAGGCGAAAAATAAGACATCCTTCTATTTTTTTAAATTACTTTTCACTTCACAATGAATTCCAAAAGCTTCACTCAATTGATATAAAAACATACGGAGTAAGTTGCATTCATGAACAACCAAAAAACATTTGAATGACAGCTTCAAAGTATGCCCACTCCTCCCTTTCCATCAACAGAAGAATGGGTATGTAAAGAAAGAAATCTTTATGGAATTACTAACCAACACCAGATCCAAGCTCAATAACAGAACACCCTCGGATGATGTCAGCCTTCTTCGCAAGATAATCATTCAAGAGCACTGCTCCAGGCCACACCATTTGTCCCGTCAAATCAAAATCAGCTGACGTGCATTATGCATGTAGTCAGTTCCAAGTAGCAATATACATGGGAATAGAAAAAACACACCAGTCACCAGAAAAGAAACACACTTTCAATCATGACATTTCTGTTTTATTAGGGCATAGAAGAAAAAATTAAATACATAACAGTCTCAGTGTAACTTAATTTTACAGTCAGGTGCTGACACTGAATCAATCTATTATTCTTTAAGAGTCCTCATCAAAGAAATAAATACAACTTTATTGGAGTTCAGCCAAACAACAGAACTCAGTTAAGCACCCAATATCCATACCTCATACGGAGTATATAGCTTTGCCGCGCGATATGCTATGCATTGATTAATCAATCAATTTTAATCAGGCAAAGGCTTCAATGGGTTAAAATGCTAGATTCATCCAATGATAAGGCTCAAGAGAAAGAGGATAATGACATTTCTCAACCAGCACATAGAGCATAGAAGACATTACATGGTAAAAGCTTTACTTTGTTATATTAGCTAATTTCATAAGAAGAAGAAAAGAAAGGCTTACTGGAAGCTGATTGGAGACAGTATAGCTGAAGAACTTGAGAACCGAATGAGAACGTCGTAAGCTCATAGCTGCAAGAAGCAACTCAATACCCAAAATTGAAGAAGGAAATGCAAACAATATCCATATCTATACACACGGAGATGCATACTTGTCATTGATGAAGAACGAAGCGTCCAAACAAACAATGTCTTCTTCTTCTTCTAGCCCTCCTTTATTATCCATAATATTGAGTGCAAACAATGTAATTGCGGTAGCTGGTAGCTTGCAGTGCGGCCATTGAGAAAAGATTTAGGAATCGGAATCATGGTACTTTCTGCATCAGGATTGGTACCGTGGAACCTTCCTCCAACAATGACAATAACAAATAAAAATTAGAGAAAAAAAAGTCTAATTGGCCTTGCCCAAAGGCCCCAAATCGGCTCTATCCACTGATTCTATTGGTTTTCCATCAAAAAAAAAATATTACTGTAAAATATTTTTTATTAATTAAAGGGAAAAAGGTACATATATATACATTTATATAGTAAAAGTGCATGAACATATATACTCTTGTTCTATTTTTCGGAACAAATATATCTCTGAACTTTGAAAAAGGTGCAAAAATATCCATCATGTTCTTATAAAGGAGCAAATTAATCCTTATTGACTTTAAATTAATAAAATAAATTTCAAAAAACACCAAAAAAATCAAAAAATGTAATTGTGTCCAATTCTCCTTTTTTGTTTTTGAATCATAATTAAATATTTTTAGTATATAAATTCACTATTTTGTAATTTTTGGCTATTTATCATCATACAAAATATGTAATTTTATAGTGCAAAAAATGCAAAAATAATTTTTTTTTACATTGCATCACATATGTTAGCACATTTTTGAAAGAATCTTAAATATATAGTAAAATTTTGAAATAATATTTATACTAAAAATATTTATCTTTTTATTTTAATTTTTATATTTTAACTTCGAATTTTTAATTTTTTGGTGTTTTTGGAAATTTATTTTATTACTTTAAAGTTAATAAGGATTAATTTGCTCCTTTATAAAAACATGAGGGATATTTTTACACTTTTTTCAAAGTTCAGAGGTACGGAGTATATTTTATCCGAAAATAGATTGGGGTATATTTGTTCCTGCACATATACTATAGGGGTATATATGTACCTTTTCCCTTGATTAAACAAAGAAAAATATATACTTCATACCAAAAAACATCTAAACTGATCATCTACAATAACTTTAGTTAATACAGCAAAAAAGAGACTTCAATCTTTTTTTTTAATATTACACAATCAGGCGCGTGAAAAAAATACACGCTTAATGAAAAAGTTGGTTGATAAGTTTGATAAACAAAAAAACAGGGTCACCATATGAGATTTCAATTCCACCTTATAAATAGGACTCTTATAATTAATGCTAACTTTTTACAAAAATGTCACATTGTCGTTATTAGCCATTGATTGTATAAATGAATGGTGGAAATTAGAAGTTCTCATTTTATAAATGGTTCTAATTCTAAGAGGGGTTCTCACTAGAACCTTCCCCTGGTCCCGAAATGTTACGAGTTTGAAATAATCATCCTGTACCATCCCATGATCACCCCTGGTTTTGTGGACCCTAAATTGCTTGACCATGTGTGTTTGTTGAAAAAAACTTTGTATGGTTTAAAACAATCACATAGGCAATGAAATATTAAATTTGAGAAGTGCTTGCAATCTTTAAAATTTTCTAAGAACTCTGTTGATCATTGCTTGTATTATAAAAAATATTTAATCTTTGCCTATATTTTTATTACTCTATGTAGATGACATGTTTATTGTTAGTCCTTGTTTGAAGTTTATTGAGCATGTTCAAAAATCCCTTTGTGAAAACTTTGACATGAAAGACTTATGTGATGCTAAGAAAATTTAAGGCATAGACATTATCAGGGATAAAAATAAATCTACTCTGGTTTTGAATCAAAGTTCTACATTGATAAGGTTTTGAGTAAATTTTATATGTCCAATGCTAAATATGTGAATGTGCCTCTTGCCTCTCATTTTGTGTTAAGTAAGGATCAGTTCTGTAAGACAGAAATGATCGAAATGAAAAATGTGCCATATTCAAATGTATAGGATCCATCATGTATCTCATGGTTAGTACCAGGTCCGACATTGCATATGCGGTTAGTTGCTTAAGCAGATACATGTCTAATCCTGATGTGCATCTTTGAAATGCTTTGATTTGATTATAAGGTATTTGAAATATTTAATGAATGCTGATTTTACCTTTTCTAAGTGCCATGAAGGTGTTAAGTTAATTGGTTGTGTTCATTCCAATTATGCTAATGATAGAGATAATAGAAAGTGCACAACTTCTTATGTGTTTACTCTGTGTGGCACTTGTGTAAGTTGGACATCCATACTTCAACCTATTGTTGCTCTGTCTACTATTGAGTCTGAGTATGTAGCTGCCACGGAAGCTTTCAAAGAAGCTATTTGGCTTAGAAGTCTTTTGCATGAAATTGATTTTGTTGACAAAAACGTGGTTATATTTTCTGACAGTCAGTCTGCTATTCAACTGTGTAAAAATCTTGTTTTCCATGATAGAACTAAACATATCGATGTTAGATTCCATTATATTCGAGATATAGTTGAAAAAGGAATTATAAAGTTAGAGAAAATTCCTTGAGAATTTAATCAGACATGATTACTAAATTTACCTGTTAAAAAATTTGTTTTGTGTCAAAACATTTTAAATTTCGATTTTGATTGATTTTCTCTATGTTGCCTCGGTTTACTATTAACTTACCTGGTTTTTGTTAATAGTTTGACAATGTTGGTGTCCCTTTGAACTTGATGACCGTTTGGTAGATATAAATCATTTATGGAGTCGACATGCTTGGTGTGTTGTCCCCTTGTGATCCGGGAATACATTGTGTATTCTCATATTATTTGTATCATTCTTACGACAATACTTGTAATAATTCGTCAATGATGAGTCCGTTGTCCCATGAATTGTCTCAGTGCATTACCTTGGGCCAAAAGGGGAGATTATTAATATATTATTGATCCAAATGATCTTTGCATATTAATAATAGTTGACACCCTTTTTAGCAACTCACTACTTTTACTCCAGTTACCAAGCTTGGTTCATTTGTCCCGTTTGAATACAAACTTTGCTCATTACTGAGCAACTAAGTGAGGTGTGCCGTGTGTGATTGTGTTGTCCTTTGCATAGCTGTCCGCCCAACCCTTCATGCTAATAAGTCAATTCTTCCTTTGTATTATTAAGATAGTCTTTCACCCCTTTGCATGTGAGAGTGTTCTCAACGGGCCACTCTTCTTTCCTAACTAACCGTATATATCATACATGGTTGTGAAGCCTTTGAGGGCAGGGCCGGTCCCGAGAAAACACGGGCCCTGTGCAATAATTACAAAGTGGGCTTTTTTCTAAAATAGGTAGATATAAAATACAAGTGATTGCAATAATTTATATCACTAACAAAATAGTTAAAATAAAAATGTTCCTTTACAAAGTACACTTCATTTATTTGTTAAACTGAATTATAAATTAACAGATCAATAACCTAATGCCTGAACTTGGTGATTTAATAAGTTCAATAACCTAATGTATATTTCATAAATATATAATAATGTATTAATTTAATAATGACGTGAAATACCCAAAAAAATGGTTATTGTCAATTTATTTTGATTACCACAAATTAATACGGAGTATCAATGATTATAAAAATACGAAATGAAATAATTTTAACATCAACTAAATAGTTGAGTTGGTTCTCCATCGGCATGTCTTTGTAATTTCCTAGGGTTCGAAACCCCCTGCCTCTAAACTTTTTAATGAAGTACATCGTACTATATACTATCATCATAATATGAGTAGTTTATAATAAGAATTGGAAACATAAGCGGGGTTGGATTGGGCTCTATCTAACGTATTTGGGCTCTAACGTAAGCAGTCCGGCTCTATGGGTTCTAATTATATTACACTAGTATATATAAGGAAAATTCTACCGTGAATTTTCGGTTTGGTTCAGTTCGGTTAAACCAAACCATTTTGCACAGTCCTAAGTTCGGCGGCGACAAAACTCTGGCGTCGATCTATGCCGGTGATCTGGATCGCGGCAGCAAAGCTCTGGCGGCGGCGGCCAGATGTGCAACATCGGTGGTCAAATTGGCGCCGACCACATCTGACCAGATGTAGGTGGTGGCAACATTAGGTTTTGTCAAGCTTCAAGGAGTACTTATTTCCAACTACAAATAATGACTTGAGTATTTTAAACTTTACTATGGAGTATTATTTTGACAATTAAAGATTTATTTATTGCGGAGTACTATTAGGTAAATCTCAATTGACGGTTGTGTTTAATTTTATTTGTTTTTTTTCTCTAACTGGATGAAGGATTAAAATGCAAAAATGGAAAATTATTATGTTTAGTGAATGAGGATATGGGGTGGCGTAAGATATAGTAGTACGTAGTACTACTAATACGGACTTACGGTTATGGAGTTTGATGGTTGGTTAAAAAAGATGTGTACCAAAACACACTAAATTAAAGAATGCACCGTAGAAACACCCTATATATAATATAGGAGTACTATTAAAAATTGGGCATTCACAATTTATGGGCCCTGTGCGGTAGCACAGTTTGCACTTGCTCTGCGCCGGCCCTGTTTGAGGGTAGTGAGAAAAGATAAATCATCCTCTATGTGAAGCTGAGTGAGACATGATGTAGAAAGTAAAATAGGTAATTACTCTCTTAACTCTAGGAGTGCACAAGGAGACATTCAAAATCGACCTTCAGCATATCTGAACCGAATCCGACCGACGGAAACAAATCCACAACAGAATTAAAATAAAGAAGATGTTTTTCAAAACAAAAACAACTCAATAGAAGAACAAGGTCCGATTGAAAACTAACTAGTGACACATTTACTTCACTAGGGACTCGAGTTATTAATAAGCGGCGCATAAAATAAGTAGTGTTGTAAATTCATGTTTACTTTAAAGGATTTAAAACACAGTTTTACATTAAAATGTCAAAAATAACCATATGCATATAGACACACAAACATTTATGCATACAAGCATATAATATAATATAATATGTGGGGGTCACCTCGTACACGCACCCATACCCTCGCACCCCACCCTATCCCTACCCTACACCTTACACCCAATTCCCATACCCTTGATCCCGACCCCCTACCCTACCCTTACCACGACCTTGCCCTCTACCCCTACCCATACCCCTAACCCCTATCGTACTTGTTAGGGTGGCGTCATGGTGGTGTCTAGGTAGGGCCATGTGGTATGGGTCCGAGGGTATGGTAAGCGGCACATGTGAGGAGGTTGGGTATGGTGGTAAGGGCTGG